TTAGGTTTAGTTTTAGTTTTCTGCTTAGTGTAAGTTCATTTCCAAAATGTTTCGGGAAGCCAAAAGAGTTTCTGGTCACAAGATAGGTCATGAACATGATGATGTTGTTCAGTATTGTGAGATAGTAAAATGAGGACCGATAGAGAGGTCCCACGTTGCCGATCCAACCAAACCAAATTACTACGGAAGTCATGTGAAAATTAAATCATTTCTATTTTTATTTTTATTTGACATTGAAATAAATACCTCTGAAATGTATACACTCCACGCAATACCAGTTCTACTTTTAATCTGTTCTTTACTCAATTGATTATTATTTTCAATTAATATGGAAACCAAAGATTTGGGTGGTTTCACATCTAGTTTTTCCTCTATTATGTTAAAACATTTTTGTAATCTTTCTTTTGCTGCTGTTTCGACTTCATCTAATTTTGTTGTTGATGATGCATCTTTATTAGGTAGATCTTTAATAAATAAATCAAAATCTTCAAACCATTCCATATTTTTATGATGAATCAATGCAGATAATAATACACCATCATTTAAACCTGTAAAATCTTCTATTGGATAAGAGCTTGAAGGTAATACGGATGCATAATCAATAAGTTGCATGTTCAACCAAAACAATAAACCAGATGAAGAACTTAATGACATAGAAGAATCATTTAAACGTAATGTACGAAATCTTTTAGGTGGAAGTTGAAAATCTTTATTGGCTGTTGCTGGTAATGACATTCGTTTATTATAATTGTTTACAACATTGAGACTTTGTCTTGGATTCAGAAACATTCTTGAATAACGAATTGAATTTTTGTTATTATTAACTGGTTTTTTCCCAAGATAATTATTAATATTGTTATCAACTGATTTTTCTTCTTCTTCTCCACCTTCTTTTTGTTCTATCGAAAAAGTTTCTTTATTAATTTGTTCAATTTTTTCATGATCTTCTTCTTCTTCTTCCAGGATAGTACTATTTCTATTCATGTTTTCAACTTCATCTTTAATATCACCATCCCCATTATTGTTATCACCATCCCCGTTATTGTTAACACCATCACCATCACCATCATCATTAATCTTGATAATTAATTCTAATTTATCGATTTGTGATTCAATTGATTCAATATCTAAATTAAACCACATATTAGAATTATGATTTTTTTTATTTTTTTTATTACCGCCATCATCATCATCATCATCAATCTCGCCATTTAAAAGTCTAGATTGAGCTTTGGCAGTTGCTAACTCTTCTTCGGTTACTACTTCTTCAAATACACTGACCATTTGATGAAACCTTGAAATAACCAGCCAAATTAAACCTAATGTCAATTTCACATTACCGTCAACAATATCAACGGGTCCGATGGCTTGTAAAGCAGCCAGACCCGACTCATCCAAACGATTTCTCAAAAAGTCTAAAACATTACTAACATTTGCAATATGATGGTGTCTTGTATTACCACCACGTTCGCATTTCGGTAATTCTGAGTCACCCTCATAAAGAACCTGCAATAATTCAATCAATCTAGTACCGTCTCTGAAATCTTTATCAATTGCTTTAATTTCAGGAAGTCTATTTGCTAAACTTTCATTTGGATTCGATGAATTATTGTCGGAGTTTAAAAAATCATATTGATGAATCGAGCGTAACTGAATGTTGACCCAGCGAGTAAAAGTTGCTTTTTGAATATCTGTGTATTTATCAACCTCATTAACATAGTATTTTTGTTTGACATTCACCACTTTGGTAGTTTTGTCCCATTGTCCAATAAAAGATCTACGCCTTTGAGGTTTATTGTATGGTTTCGGCATTAATTACTTGATTTTTTTAAGGAAAATTTTTTAAATAATTGATAGAATAATTAGTAATAAATAAATAATTAATTAAATAATTAAATAATTGAAAAAAAAAAAAAAGAAAAAAAGGAATTCGTTAAATTAAATAAATTCTTTATTATTATTACTATTACTTATTATTCTGTAGCATACATAATTAAGGTTTCCCCCTTTTATCCCTGAAAATCTTGTGTTTTGAGAATGCTTGTAAAACCATTATATGATATTTGTGACGTAATAGATAATATCACAAGTTTTTTTAATTTTTTTGCTATGGTGCAGGCAACCTAATAGCTCCCATTCATTTCTATTGGTTTTAGTTATCATAGAAATTTATTGAGTGAGGGGTATTTTTTATTTTGGAAAACGACAGTGCAACATTCAATCTCTATTTCAGGATTAATTATTGATTTGATTAATGTCTTTATGGTAATTTTATCTATAAAAAGGAATTTGCAGTTTTACGAAATGGTTACGAATGAAGTCTCTATTGACCATGGATGTGATAATAGAGAGAGAGAAGTCAACATGGCATGTTCGATGTTGAGCTTTCTATTAAACTTGATTTTTGGCAAAAATTGACTTTGCAGATCAATTGATGCATTTATTTTCTTTCTTTCCAAGGTCTTAAACTTTTTTTTCCTCCGTTTTTTTTTCTTGCTGGTCTTTTTTTAACTTGTACTTGATTTTTTATGCTATCTTCTTCCATGCTCGCGAGAAGACAAATCTATGTTATCATTATACTGGGATAAAATCGTTCGATCAATTAATAAGCCATCATTACTTTTTGATTAATTTGAGCGGTGAGATTAATTCAAATCAACAGATAACCAGTAATGATGTTATCAATATACAAAATCAAATCTATAATTCAGACAACATTATCGGGGAAGTGAATATATGATTATAATAAAATTCACTTCTATTCTAGTATTAATATTCTATCACTTCAGGAATGCTCATTAACAACGAGCAAAATTCTTGAATATGTAAAATATCATCACAAAAATGATATAATTGATTTACGACCCAAACCATAATTTTTCAAACAATTATTGCTTGAAGATATTCCTTAATAATAATAATATTCATGATTTTTCCTGTCAAATTGACGATCCTTGTCCAAAAGGCGTTATACTTGAATATTTTCTACATTGTAGTATCAAAGTATTTGCACTCGGAGCATTTAATCCTTTACTAAATATTAAATCAATCGAAAAACTATACTTGAATGCCATATCTAGAGGTTGCACTCGGTATGTCGCTCAGACAAATTATGAATCCCTTCACAAAACTATTGCAGATGGGAGCGGAACTGATAAATTTGGGATGATCGACATCACACGTCAGTTATTTTATTTCTCTAAAAAAAGTATTAAAAGATGAAAATTTGCGTGAATACTCATCAAAATATAAGCATTTTAATGTGATTATAGGTTTGATTAATATAAACAGTGGTTATGATGGAATTTACTGTTATTTTGTTATTCAACATTAACAATCATTCAGATTAATTGCGACTAACATTCGTATAAAGACGAATATTCAAAAAATTTTTACAATAAATACTTTTTAGTATTTCTTTATTTAAATGTTATCACGATCTTGACATAAAGATATAATCAAATAAATTCAAAGAATTAAAAGTAAACATTGTTTTTTTATTTGAGTTTTGTTCAAACAATTTTATATTTCTACTATTCTATGCTATAAAAGGCCGAATTTATATTCCTTTGCGACAAAACTTTTTAATTATTATTATAATAGATGCAATCCAATATATAATGATAATTAATATTTTTTTTTTATATATATTTATATATAATATATTACAAAATGGTATTATTATCAATCAACAGAGAAAGTAATATATGCGTGAAAATGAAAAATATCCTAAGCAAGTGTGAATCGTAAAAATGAAGAATATAATATAAAATTAAAAATACAATTTTAAATATTGTGATATATTAGAATTTAATCTACCCCTTCCACTGTTAATCTAGTGTAAGTTAAATATGTTTGTAACAAAAAAAAATAATACATCGTTCTGTCATTGTCACCACTACCACCTTTACCGTATCCATCGTGGTTGTTACTCCTATTATGTTTCCTCTTGGTGTGGGTTGTTCCTCATGGTGATGATGGCTGCCGCGGATGATGACGTTTTTTTTATCGATTTTGATTTTAAAAAAAATAAAATTTATCGCGTCAATCACACGACTTAATTATAAATAAAATTCATTGAATTCAAATGATTCCGCGCGTGCATATACAAAAATGGGGATGATGGTTGAATGGCAGTATTGTGTCATTAGTCGTGGTATGTGTCACGAAAAAATATTGGCAAATATCAATTTTAATGAAAAAATTGTTCCCTCATAAGCTAACTATAATATTTTAAGAACAAAGGGTGCTGAAATTGTTTAAAAATGTAGTTTTAGTTTTAGAGTATACTTTAAACCTATTTCTCCCGAATACTCATGCCTCTGTGGAGTATGATCTTGTTTGAACGCAAATAATAAATTTAAATATTAAATATATTAATATAGTGTGTCACGAAAAACGGATGATCAATTTCGAAAAAATTTATATTTGTTTTTGCATGAAAAATTTGTTCTTCCATAAGCTAACCATATCATTTCGAGAACAAAAGGTATCAAAAGTTATTTAAAAATGCAGTTTTAGTTTTAGAGTATACTTTAAACCTATTTCTCCCGAATACCCATGCTTCTGTGGAGTATGATCTTGTTTGAACACTACATAACAACAGCAATAGATAAGATCTTTTCTATTTAAGAAACTGTATATATGCCATTTTCATTTTCCATTTTCCATTTTCCTCCATCCCTCCATACATAATTCTGAGACAAATTTTTTTACATTTAATTCAAATGTTAGCATTATTAGCATTAGCATTAGCATTAGCATAATATTAGTATTATATTAGTATTTAACATTAATAGTGTTGTCAATATTCATTAGATCATTAGATAACATAATAGCAATTTAAATATGTCTAAATTTTTATTTAATCTCTCTTGTATAATACTTGAAACTGATGTTTTTTATATTAATATTGATATTTTCACAAATTTTATAATTCTTTTTTTTTGGTTTGTTAGTTTATACATGATATAAAAATGAGTTACCACAATATATTAAATATGCAAAATTTAAAATTGCCAGAGGTTGATACATTTGAATCCATTCCATCTACACCTTCAGTGATTGAAGATGTTTTAGAAGAGTCAGATGACAGTGAGGGTGAATTTTGTGAAATAGATAATGATGATAATGTTTATTTTAACAAAAATAATACAAGTTTTTAAATTTATTTGAATTGGCAAGAGATGTGGGAGATGTGGAAAAAATTGCAGATGATGAAAGTATATATGATGATGATGATGATTGTGAATTGGAAGAAGGAAAATAACAAAAATTCTGAAGATAATATTAGTGATGATGAATTTGAAATCATGATTGATAAAACAACTGATAGTTGCAATTTTCATCAAAAATGTGCAGTAATGTGTTATAATGAATCAGATGGTCTAACATATGCATGTGAATGAAAAAGCTACAAAAGGTTGTGGCAGACATCAGGTTGTTGGGAAATAAATTCTGATTATATAAAATAAACAAGGATTTTGCCAGGTTTGTTGGGTGTGTGTGATGTACACTTTCACTTAGACAGATCTCCTAATTTACATCCAACAGGCATTAAAAAAATCAGAAATTGTGAAGATTCAATTATCACATCAAGACAATGCTTATTTTGTGGCCACAATTTTTATGTATTATCATGTGGAAAAAGTTGCACAGTACATACATGGAATTTACTTGGAAGAGATTTGATTGTACCATGCATAACTCAGCATACATGCTCAGTGATGGATAATAATATTTCGCCAGTATTTGAAAAATTATCTGAGGATCACATTACCTATCATCCATGTTATATATGTCTTTCATGCTTTGAAAAGAATGGAGGTCATGTTCATATACCTACAGGAAAAGGCTCAAATAAAAAATGTAGTCATAGCAATGATATTACAAAATCATTACAAAGTTTGGCAACTTGGATTATGGGTATTTCTTTATCAGATAACCATGCATTAAAAGAGAATGTTTTATCAAAACTTGTGTCTGTTTTAAATGTTTATTCAAACAAAAATGATGATTTATTTTTTTTGAATAACCACACTCTAAATTTATTGAATCCTCTGATCATCAAAGCTTCGTTAAAACTTGGTAAAGCTGATAAATTAATTTCAAAACAGAAAAAAAATCCTGTCAACCCTGGTGAATGTTTTCAATTCAGTCAAAGTCTGGGGAAATCATTATATCATTCTAGAGAATTGGTTAAAAAAAAATAAACAATGTTTAACTAATCCCAGTTCCCTAATCGAATATCACAAGGCCTTCCCAGATACTATTAAAGAATTCTTTAATGGTATGATTGGATTCATTTTACAACAACACCAATAACAACTTACAAAGGCAAAAGAAAAAAAATTCATTAAAATCTGGAATCGAGAGTTTTAAATATGAAGAATTAGACCAATGAAGTTGATAAAGATAATCACATTTTTGTCATCAATAATTATGACAATTACATTTAGAAAGATGAATTTTTGGTTTAATAATATATTAGCAAGTCTTTGTAGGTATCCAAACATTCTATCTTCTCTGCATGCAATCCTTAGAGTTGTATATGTTATTCCTCATACCCAAAATATGAAGGACTCTTGGAAATCAAAAGAATGCACCAAGCAGTTTCCAAACATGATCTTTCAAATGGTCAAAAACTTTGAACCTTGGTATAATTTATAATATCGATTTTTTTCAAAAGACATACAAATATGGAAACATTTTTGATGTTCCTAGGAATACCATTCATGCCACACTACAAATGCTTTTTCACCAATACCTATTTATGTGATTGTACCTCCAAGGTCTTTAATGATTTCAAACAATAAACAGAAGATATTTGGTCATAATTCACTCTCTTTGAAGTTTTTAGATATATCTGGATATGTATTCAAATCATTATTAGATTGTGATTTTTTACCTGATTTAACATTCAACAACAATTTCAATGAATCTGACATAAATAAAACGTTAATTTCACTTATCCCAAAATCATTCAACAATTTGCCTCCGAACATTACAATCTTAGATCTAGGAGGTAAACAAAATGATGATGAAGAGATATATGAATCTTGTGAAATATATTATGGGATGATGAAATGTCAGTTTAGAATTGGAAAATATTACACAAAGTTTAGAATTTAAGAAGTATTTAGATATTGCATCAGATCAATCAATATTCCAAAGGTTAGAGAAATACAAAGAATACATAAATCCAAATTCAAGAATTATATTGGGGCAATGGCATACTAATCTTGATATGTGCAGTGTTTTAATAACCATTTTTTCAGGATATGGCATATATAATATTGCTTCTGCATTAGGTGTCAAATACTTAACAAATTTCCAAAAAATAGTTGACTATAGAGCAGCATTGAAAACCCTTGAACTTATATGGACAATATTAGGCATCACCTTGAACATTTATAAATCAAGTCAATGTGACTCACTTAAATGTGTTATTAAAGTCCAGCAAGTGAGAGAATGGAACTCTTGCTGGTGGCTCATGCTGGGTGTATTGACTATTCGTGACATGACCTCTCTCTTTTTATTTGTAAGATGTGAAATCCATCAATTATGAGAAGCATTATTATTATAGCAACAAGTAGCAAACAACAATGAATCATCATTTTTTAAGGATGACGATAAAGATTAAGATCCGATTTTGTTTCATGAAAATACTCAAGTTTTTCAAAAAATGGCTGTCCTATTTATATGTTTTGGATTTACAAAATAGATTACTGTGTCTTGGCCCGAGTAATGTCATTTTTTTGCTCTTTGCGACGAA